GGGTCTCACTCTTGCTCAGGCTAGGCTCGAACTTCTGTCCTCAAGCGATCCTCCTGCCTCGGCCTCCCAGAGTGCTAAGATTACAGGCGTGAGCCACTGCACCCAGCCACAAAATTTCTTTTTAAATGTTGGCAACTAATGAAAAAATAAATACCTATATTAACCCCATAGATGCTGGGGTGTAGGTGTGTCTTACGTGTGGAGGTGTTTGAGTGTTGGGTCAATCTTAAAAGGCCAACAGAAGTTGAGGACAGAAGCCAGGGTCCCTACTGAGCAGGGGATTGCCCAAGTGCCCAAGGACAATTCACCTGGATCTCAGAAGGGACCTCAGAGTCACCCGCTAGGCTCCCCGACACTGCGGCCCCCTGGGGGCTCTCCCCTCTCCGCCTACACTTGCTCCCCTGAGCTCCTCCAGCGCCAAGCCTGTCAGCCCCAAACTGATGTCTCCAGACCTCAGCCCTCGTCCCAGCCCAGCGAGTCCCGCAGCCGGCTGACCGCCGGCACAGGGGTGTCCAGTGGGCCTCTCTCACCCGACAGCCCCTCCCCAGCCCAGACCCTCTTCCTCCCAGGCTTCCTGCTGCAGCGGATGGCAGCTCTGTCCTGCCGGGTTCTGGGGGTGGGAGGAACAAATAAACCTAAAAAACCCACACCGTCACCTCCCACCTCAACTACCCCAGTCACCTTCTCACCGGGCTCCCCACCTCAGCCCTCGCTGCACAGTCTGGTCCCCATGTGGCCCCAGAGGGCGCCAGTTCCCACTTAAGGCAGCTCCTGTCTCTGCTCAGATCCCTTTGGTGTCAAAGCAAAGTCCTCTTTGTGGCCCAGTAGGTCTAGCTCAATCCGGGCCCCCATTTGCTCTCTCTCTGCCCTCCTGTCCCGCCCTCTCCATCTCACTCCGCTCCAGCCACACCGGCCTCTCGCTGTTCCTCCTGCGACCCAGGCTCCACTCCACCCCAGGACCTTTGCACTGGCTGCTCCTCTGCCCAACGGCTCTTCCCGCAAACTTCCTTGGGGTCTTGATTCAAATGCCACCTCTCAGAGAAGCCTTCCCTGAGCACCCCGTCCTGTCTAAAAGAGCACACAAACCCGCTTTTTAAAAGTCCTCATCTGGTAAAGACACATACTGAGTTATTGGAATGCTGGTAATTCTTGGCACTGGGCGATGGGCCCGTGAGGTTCAACACGGGACCCTCCCTACTTTGGTGTGGACCGCGCTTGCAAAATGCCGTAAGGAGAAGTCTTCGTAGCTAGCACGCACACAGCCATCGCTCTCTGCCGCCTCACTTCCCCTCACGTTTTTGCGTTTATCCCTCCCCGACATCATATGCCTCATCTCTGTCCTCAGGGCCCACCTCCCCTGACGGAACGCCAGCTCCCAGCGACAGGGACTTTTGTCTGTTTTGTTCAACGCCACGATGTGCCCAGGGCTTAGCGATATAAATACTTGCTGAACAAATTAGTTAGAAGAAAAGTGCTATGTTATCACAGAGAATGGATGTGTCTGTAGGTGCCGCGTAAGCAAGGAGCACCAGGAAAGATTTTTCTGAGGAGGTGACATTTGTCCTTTTGTTTGTTTTTTATAAAGAGAGTTCGTTAGGGCCAAGGTTGAGGACTGCAGCTGGGGACACACTTCCAAGTTGCCTCACCGAGCGCTCTGAGAACAAAAGAGAGGCTCAGGTTTTTAAAGAATAAAGGATAGTCAGGACAGGGGGTGACTACAGATGTCGCGAGTGCCCATTGGTTTACCGAAATAACACCGGCCCCTGATTGGCCGTCCGCTGTGGAGCTATAGGGTGTGTCGCGTTTTATGGCTACTTGGGCGGCAGTTAGTCTAGAGCCCACACAGCAAGTGGCTTCCAGAGGTAATTATTTAGCTCAAGTGGGCGTGAGATGTGTCTGTTGTTACATTTTAAATGCCTCTCTGGGCCTGATACATTTATTTTTTTCTTTGAGACAGTCTCGCTCTGTCACCTGGGCTAGAGTGCCGTGTTGTCGGCCTAGCTCAGAGCGACCTCAAACTCCTGGGCTCAAGCGATCCTCCTGCCTCAGCCTCCCAAGTAGCTGGGACTACAGGTGTGTGCCACCATGCCTGGTTAAGTTTTTCTATATATTTTTAGTTGTTTGGCTAATTTCTTTCTATTTTTTAGTAGAAATGGGGTCTCACTCTTGCTCAGGCTGGTCTCGAACTCCTGAGCTCAATTGATCCTCCCGCCTCAGCCTCCCAGAGTGCTAGGATTATAGGCGTGAGCCACCGCGCCTGGTCCCCCTACATTCTTAACATTCCCTCCCACCACCATTGCACCAGTTTGGAAGGTCCTAGAAGCTTCCTAAGAAGGCTGGGCCATGCAGCTACATGGGTAGCTTTTGTTGAATGCAGGCAATCACTCCCCCATTTATTTTCTACAAAGAACAGGGTCCTTTCGGAACAAGGAGATCAAACCAAGGAACAGGAAACATTTTGCTGTTAGACAAAATGGGTCTCACAACCCAGTGTCCCGTGCTCACCTTGGTCACGGTGTAAACCCCCAGCAGGTTCAGCTCCAGCAGCTGGCGGAAGCGCTCAATGGTGGTCTCCTCGGGCCACTGCAGGGATGGGTCTGAGGTGGGTGGGGGTGGGGGAGAGAGGAGCAGTGAGGGAGCGGCCAGGACAGAACAGGGAGGGCAGATAGTGGCTGGGAGGGGCCTGGGGGACTGGCGGGGGTGCAGACAGGGGGCTGGGAACGTGCAAGGGAAGGAGGCTGCACGCTGGTTGATGAGAAAGCCCAGCTCCGTGCTCAGCCCTGCCACTTCCTGGCTTCCCGACCTCGGGCAAGTCACTTTTCCTTTCTGCGCCTGTTTCCTCATCTCCGGGATGAGGGCAACACCTTGTTCTTGGACATATAAATTTCACCTGACAGTATTTGCACTGGATGGTACTGTGAATGTGTTTGTTAAACGAATAGAGAGGTTGGGGAGGGTAGACGGACAGAAAAATCCACATTCAGGGGACAGGGAGCTGGAAGACGGGAGTGAGAGCAAAGGAAAAGACTAGTGGAAGAGACGACCCGGACGTCCACAGGCGTCGGCATTAGCAGACAAGTGCACAGGGACAGAGAGACGGGAAGCAAGACCAGGGACAGAAAGTTCAGGAAATACTCCTCCCCAGACATGGGGAACTGACTGCCTCACTCCCTCCAGGGATCCATACGGACGTCCTCGGAGAAGCCTCCCCAGACCTGCCGTCCAAACGCCTCGTCGCTTCCTACACCTTTGGCCGGCTTCCTTCCTTCCTTCCTTTCTTTTTTCCCTTTCCTCTCCTTTCCTTCCTCCCTCCCTTTCTTTCTTTCTTTTTTGAGACAGAGTCACACTCTGCATGGCCCAGGCTAGAGTGCAGTGGCACTGTCATAGCTCACAGCAGCCTCAAACTCCTGGGCTCAAGTCAGCCTCCTGTCTCAGCCTCCCGAGCAGCTGGGACTATAGACACACACCACCACATCCCCCTAATTTTTCTATTTTTAGTAGAGACAACTTCTCGCTCTTGCCCAGGCTGGTCTCGAACTCCCTGCCTCAAGCGAACCGCCTGCCTCGGCCTCCCAAAGTGCTGGGATCACAGGCGTGAGCCACCGCTCCCGATCAGCTTCATTTTCCTTTATGGCCTTTATTGACACTGGCCATGCTACTATCTACGGTCCATTCTTGTAATTCACAGCAGTTATGTCCTATAAAGTCACCAGGAACACTGAATTAGATTATTAGAGGGCACTGACCCATTGCTCCCAAGGGAAACATGAACATACGATAGATAATATGTACATATGTATATGTGAGATATATATGTATTGATACATACATGATATATACAATATATGTACATATGTCGATATATACATGCCTAACATAGATGATAATCTCTTTTTTTTTTGAAAGAGAGTCTCACTCTGTTGCCCATGCTCAAGTGTTGTGGCGTCAGCCTGGCTCACAGCAATTGCAAACTCCTGGGCTCAAGCGATCCTTCTGCCTCAGTCTCCCAAGTAGCTGGGACTACAGGCATGTGCCACCATGCCCGGCTAATTTTTTTTCTATATATTTTTAGTTGTCCAGCTAATTTCTTTCTATTTTTAGTACAGACGGGTTCTCGCTCTTGCTCAGGCTGGTCTCGAACTCCTGACCTCGATCGATCCTCCCGCCTCGGCCTCCCAGAGTAGATGGTAATCTTAAACCTTAAAGACAACTCATACTAGTAGAGTGTATGTTCTTTACTTTCTAAACAAGGTTCAGAGTGTTAAGGGACTTGCTTGAGGCCACCCCTACTAACAGTGACAGCTGGGATTTCAACTGGCCCAACTAGCCCCAGAAGACCTGGAGCTTCTTGCACCTCCCCGCCACGGTTGTGCCACAGGGTGTCCTGTCTCAGAGCTGAGTGAGACAAGAGGCAGAATATCTCCTCAAATTTTTGATACTCTGCATGTGTCCGTCACCAGGAGAGCCCCACAAGTATCGATTCTGGAGTTACAAATAAATTTTAGCGAATAGG